TGTCTTTGAGGACAAGGCCTTTTATCATAAGATAGCACCGAAGACCTCTGCCAGGATGAGGCAAGGTCACACATGCCAACCTCCCTCCAGAGAAAAAAATATCCCCACCCCGTCTAATGACACATACGATCCCCCCAGGCACCTCTGACACCCATAGGAACAGCCTCCTTACAGGCTACTTGCCTGGGAGCCAAAAGCCCCAAGTTCCAGCTCCTGCCTGTGCCAAGACTTGACCTTACTTATTACATAGGTCACCAGTATCCATCTCTCAGGCCATGAGTGGCTCAGGTGAGAGAGGATAAAACACTCCACAAACAGAAGGCTTTGTGATTACCAACAAACACTGACGCATTTCCAAGAGCCAGGCTTTCAGTTTGTAGAAAACAGTGGAGTCTATCCCTGGGCCACTCTGTTACAGACTCTTGCTTAAAATGCCTCTCTCGATGCTGAACCTTCGTGCCTCCTACTGGACTTCAGGCTGACCATCCAGGGAGATTGAAGGAAGTCTGCATGCTTTCCACAGAATAGAACTGAAGATGGAACTCAGGAGTGCTCTACCATGGAGCTTCACCTCCAGCGCATCTGACTTTCTATTTAAAGACAGGTCTTACCAAATTGCCTAGGTTGATCTCAAACTTGCAATCCTCCTGCCTTAGCCTCCTGAGTCACTGAGACTACAGGAGTGCGTCAGCATGCCTGGCTCAGAAAAGTTCTTTACGTGGCAAGAGGGCGTGAAATGATGTGCCTCAAGTTTTCTCTAATACCTTGCAGATTTTTCCACCATGGCTGCCGGGGATTCTGCCCCCTCACCAATCCTGCTGTCCTCTTTTGGATGACTGGCGCCTTATTTGCGCCTCATACACCAAGGCCCCAGAACAGAACTGTATACTGTGAGGGCTCAGCTCCTACCACCGGATCTGCACAAGTGCTCATGATACGGTTTAAGATGAAGCACTTTTGCTGACTCCCAGTGAACCAGGGATCATTCCAACTCTCCAATCCCAGACCTTCAGGATGAAGCAGTGTAGCAGGGCAACATCTTGCTAATTATGTAACAGAACTGGCACATAAAATATACTCTGAAAATGAACTTTACCTGTTTCTTTTAAATTTTTAATGCAATACTAGAAAATGGTAACACGTGCCACTTGTGTTATGTTCCATGGGACGGTGACTGCTCTAGGGCTTTCTCCAAGAGAACAGTAACCGGCATTTCTGTTTCAGTACAGCTAGTCTTTCCTGAACTATCCTATCCCCCAATTCACATTTCTCCATTTGAGCGGAGGCAATATTCTGGGGGGTTTTGCCAAATGCATTCAATCCATATATTCCTTATATTTCTGTCATGGCAGCCTTTTTGAAAAGATATGGAGATTGGAGGAGGCAGAATGAGAGAATAAGACACTTGCCCAATTGCTGAGCCCAGCAGATGCCCACTGATGGCTTCGGCAGCTCACCGTTTCCATTTTGAGACACCCACTCCAAGGTCAGTTTCTGTATTTGATTTGGATTCTACAAAGTCAGACCTTTTTAATGTTTGCTCAACAAATGGCCAAGTGAACAATCTGCTTGTGGTGGCAGAACTGTTATGCAGGACCACTACTTAAATGACCCCTCACCTCCAGGCCTTGCTGCCTCTGGGTAAACAGGATGCCCCCCCAAACATCATGGGATTGATGCATCGTGGCTCTGGCTCTTGCCAATTCAGTGACCTTGGTCATGTTCCTCTGCTCCTTTATCACTTCATCCTTCTCTAGGTTTTTAAGGAATCAGCTATTTAAGGATGCTGGGTGGTGCTGCTGCATCTGGTTTGTGCCACTTCCTGTCTGCATCTCCTCCTAGCAGGGGGTTGGCGCTGCACAAGAAGGGTCCCTCTTCCTGATACCAGGGGCTGGTGCTGCCCTGGCTGTCCTTTAGCAAATGTTGGTGACCCTGGCAGCTTGAGGGAGGCAGCAATTGTTGGGCTCTGAGCAGGGTGGGGGCCTGCTTCCTCTACATTAGCTCTTCCCCAGCATGAATAAAAACACTCTCTGTGGAAAGCTATGAAAAAGGGAGCTCTTTAACCAGTCAGTGAAAAGACACACGCAGAATGTTCTAGAACCGTGCCTCATTAATCTGAAACTGCCTTCCTCCTGAAGTTTCTCCCTGCTATAGCTGTGAGCCTGGGAAACCCACCTGCACTTTATGACCAGCATCTTGACCTGATCAGGGGTCAGCACCAGCCCAGAAATGATCATGCCACCTGGCCTATCAGTTCAGCTCATTTCTTCAGCAACTGGAACCAAGATGCAGAGCCAGGAGGAGGATTTCAAGCCCTGGGGTTGTAAAGCCTCGAGAAGCTGGGGGCAGAGGCAGGACCAAGGTCACTGGAGCAACAGGTGAGCAGACCTTCTGAGGGTACAGAAACCTGAGCCTTGCAGATGGCATTGCAGCTTCCGAGGCACCGAATGCAGCCCAGACAGTGGCCAGCACAGCCTGAGAGGGAGATGGGAGCCACACACAGAGTGGCTGCCCTGCTCCCCTCCCCCCATGAAGCATGACCTTCCTGCTACCGATTCGATTCCTGTACTTTGAACAGATGGCCTGTTTTTCTGGGGGAGCACCTGTGCTCACACAAACCAGCCAAGGGACACCACCTCACCTTCTTCCCAAGCTTCCCTCTCCACCTGGTGATCAGACACTGGCGCCCGTGGAGGCCTCATCCAGTGCTTGGTTCTTACGTCCTTCCCAAGAAACAGAAACCTCTGCCATCCTTGATGGCTTTTTCTGAAGAGGGAAATATTTATTGCAGGTCAGGGACACTTGTAAGAAGGCAAAAAAATCTAACAATGAGAATAAACTACACACCCCTCACCCCAGCTTAGAAGATGAACAGGTAAAACAAATACACGGGTTATGTACAATCATTAAAAAGAGCAGAGTGGTGGAAAAGGAGGAAAAACTGCCAGCAGCCTTCCAGAAGGTTCGTATAGGATGTGGAGGAGCACCTTCCCGCCCAGTCCTGGCTGTGCCTCAGGTGAGTGCCTCTGCTGTGGTTCCTGGCTGGCTCCTGATGAAAAAAGCTGATGAGAGGACACGTGGGCTGACTCTGGACCCCAGGTTTGCTGTGCTCCGCTCAGGGCTGGCTTGCTGAGGACGACGCTGCCCACAGGTGCCTGGCCTGCTCCCAGAGATGAAGGCCATCTCATTCCTATTTCCTAACACACCAGGGAGAAGTTGGGCAAAACCATGTCCCCTCAAGGGAAGATGTGACTTTCTGGGGTCCGTGTACGAATAAATAGCCCAGCTGGTCTCAGGTGACCCAACGCTTCAAGCCGAATGGTCCGGTTGCTTCCTCGGGTACCTGAACGTCCTTCGCCAATGACCAGGTTGTCCTTGTAGGTGTTCATTGCTTCTATCAGGAAGCCAATCCCCACCAGCCCCCCTCAGATAAGTATCATGTCACTTCTCACAAGACCATCAGGAAGGGACAAATGCAGGTCTGTGTCTTTTCTATGAAAAAGGGAGCACAGCACGCCAAGTGTCCTTGAAGAAGAGATCTCAAGGGGCTTGGTCATCCAAGTCCCCAAGTGCCTGAGATCCGCTGCATTCTGCCCGTGAAGCGGCGAGGTGCCCACCGCACCAAAACATGGACATTTCAACCCAGTCCCTCAGATGTCTTTTCGGGGCTGACATGGCCCACGACACCTAGGAAACAGAGTTCAGAGTGCAGGGCAAGGCCAAGCCCTGCACTGGCTGCAGCACGCCAGCTCCTGGTCCCCAGGCAGCCCACGGAAGGTGCCAGCAAACTTAGAGCAGTCAGAAGAGAGAGGCTTCCTGGGGGCAGGGCACAGCAAGGCTGGGCAGGAGCGGAGCCTTCCTGGCTTAGGACCCTCTGCAGGGGGCTCAGTCTCGGTGGCGACGCCAAGTCCCTACCCGCTCCCCGCCTGTGGCAGCGGCAGGAGAGGGGGACGGGGGAGATTCCAGAGGGGCAGGGGCCAGGGCTGCCGCAGGGGGCTCCCCCTGCTCCTCAGCTGAGGGCGCGGCGGGCGGGTGCTCGGCGGCGGGCCTGCTGCTGTCCTGACGGTGCTTGCTGCAGAAGATCTGTCCCTCCTTATCTAGAGCCGTGTTCTGGGGAGAAACGCAGAGACCACGTTACCCTGGCCCAGGCTCAGCTGCCACAGTCAGAGCACGACAGCATGCAGGGGGCCCAGGAGGAGGAGAGGAGAAGTAACCCAGTCTACCAGGGCCTAAAGAAGCAATGGTTTGGGGACACCCCCCTCCAAGCCACTGCCAATGGCTTCTGGCCCTCCCACAACCCAGGCTGGTGGCCCAGGGAAAAGGCAACTCTGGTGCCATCCGGGTGCCCTGTGGTGGCCAAGGGGGTCCTCTCTGTTCTGAGCCACACCCAATCCTGAGCATCACTGCTCAGGAGATTCCCAGGACACTCAGCAAACCCTCTAAGGCCACTCAGTCTTTGATGGATTACTTGTCTCAAGAAACTTCTCACATGTCATAAATACTGCCCTATGACCCAAATGGCTGTGTCACCTCTAACAGGCCTGGAAATGTGATGGAGCAATCGCCTCCATTATCTCCCCACCTGCTCCTCTCTTCCACTGAGGGGGACTCTTCATCTTGTCACACCTCAGCGTTTCTAACCTGCCCCAATGCAGGAGCAGAGACCCAGCCACGGAATGGCACGGAGTCACTCTGCCCTCTGACCCCTCACTGGGACCCACCGTCCTCATCCCTTCATCCCCCGACTCAGTTCCAGCACTTCTTGCCTGCGTGTCTAGGGACGGCCATCAACCTGCCACCTCCAAATGTGAGGGAGATGGCAGTTCTCAGGTGCCTTTCGCTAAAGGGGACAGTGATCCAGAGGCAGTTTATCACCTCGTGACTCGGACTCCCCAGGACAGTCCCAGGACCGGGAGGCGGCAGGCGGGGCAAAGCCCAGGGGAAACCTGCTTCCAGCCTCCCCCCTACCCGAAAACAGGCAGCAAACGCTGATTTTTTTCCACCATAAGCACAGCACATTCCCGGGTGGAAGCAAGCCACCCTCCGCTGTCCCGTTACTCCTCCTCTCCTCCTCCCGGGGCAGCGCGAGAGCGGGCGGCGGTGGCGGTGCGGTTAGTACGTACCGTGGCCCGGGACCTAGGCAGGGGGAGCAAGGCGGCGGCGGGAGCGCGAGAGAGGGAGGAGAGAAGCGGGGACAGAAACCAGACTTACTTTCAACAGAAGCAACATGGTGGACAGTTTTGTCTATCTTAAACTAAGGAAGCCACCCCAGATGTCCCCCAGGGGCCCCCTGAAGGCGGCCACCCCACCCCCGCGGAGGAGGCGCTCCATGGGCGGGGCCTTTCTCCAGCCCCGGCCCCTGCAGGCAGCAGGGTCCTTGTCATTCCCTTCTCTGCCACGAGATGGCCGCTGCTCATCTGAGGCTGGGATGAGCCCGGGATGAACAAAGCAGCCACCCCGCAGAATGCACTGTCCTTCCTTAAGCAGGCTGAGGACCAGTCACGAGGAAATGGAAGTATACGGCCCAAACACGGTCCTCCCTGAAACCAGAGCCCTGTCCCAGGTAATTATCCTCGCTTATCCCAAGGCTACCTGGCATCAGACCATCTTATTGATAAAAATTCAGCTTTGGAAATGTAGTTGGAGAAACACAACAAAAACCCTCACAAAAACACTGGCAAGATCCCTGTCGTGCCCTAAAGGACGCTCTTGCCCCTGAGGGAAAACAGCAGAACTATTGGGATCCTCCCTCGCACTTCTGATCTGGGAAGGATCAGGGAAGGCGGGCAGAGTGCAGAGCTGAGAAGTTTTCACGTAGTTTCCAGGGGCGTGCCCGGCTGGCAGGGAGGATGTCAGGAAGCGCCTCATCAGGAGGAAGCTAAGGGCTGCCTGGGAGCACAGAGTCTGAGAAGCATGCGGGTGGAAAGGGCCGAGAATTAGGAGCTGCTCTGAGGAAGCACAGCACATTGAATACCAGCATTCTGCTTCGGGATTTCCCACAGTCTCAACTGGGTAAAGGAGGAAACTCTGAGGTGCCTCTCAAACTGTCAAATCAAACTGTCAAATAAAATGCAGACAACAGCATCAGCTTTACTTCTTTGACCTTTATTCACCAATTCCTATCCTATAATCTTCTCAGTGGAGCCTCAGGCATCAACCCTGAGGGCACGGAGGGTCAGAAAACATTGGAGTGATGGGGCAGGAGGGTCCTGTCTGTAGTTGCACAAGAGCTGTCTAATGATCTAGCCACAAAACTCATACACCCCATTTCTACCGTCATCTGTGTCTGCAAGAAACTATATTAGCTCATATATCCCAGTAATGAGGACATATGCATGCCAGGGAAAATCATTTTGTGGTTACTTTTTGACATAAAATGTATTAAAAACTGCTCAGACGTGTGGTAATGGTGATGAAGATGAAGGCACAGAGCACCACACACATTCCCCATACAACCATGCCCCAGGTCAGGTCCAGACTGGGCGAGGAAGACCAGGAGGCCTCTTCCTCCTGCCACTTTTGGGAATAAGCCAAAATTCACAGGCTGACTTTGGGCCCTGAGAATGGGTACTGCCAGGGACAAGCTTCATGGATCTCTCCTGTAGGTACTGAATGTGACAGTGCCATTCAGCAGTTCCTCAGAGCTGACAACCTGCAGAGTTGTGTGGGGAACACGAGGTTAGACAGGACCCTGCCAAAAGCACACAATGACCAGAGAGCATGCATGTCAACATGCAGCTTCCACAATCACCACTGGAATTACAAATAAAGGAGTGGTACATTCACACAAGCTTCTCTAGAGCTGAGAAGACTGACGTTTGACTGTTGACCTCCTTCATCAGCAAACGGACAACCACCATTGGAGAACCACATATAGGTTCTGTCTGCATCCTTATCCAGAACACAGGCTGCTCTGGGCCATAAGGTAGAGCAGCCAGTCATCCCAGAACCTGACTGACCCCTGAGTTGAAAGGTGCCCCAGCAGATGATCACTCAGTGAATTCTGGGCACAGGGCTGTAGAGATTCTTCCTTCTAAATTATAAGGCTAATAACATAGTTATGTTGATGACAATGAATCCCTCTTAAGGTTTTTTCATTGCATGCCGACTATGCAAATTTTTTTTTTCCAGTGCTGGGGACGGAACCCAGGTCCTCTCACTTCTAAACATGTACCCTTCCACCAAATTGCATCCTCAGCCTGTGCATGCCAATTTTTGACACTTTTCTAAACTTTCCCAGAAGTAGCCTTATGACGTGGGCAGTGGCAAGGCTGCATGCTACTTATCCCACCCTTGATGCCAGCTCTCATGAGGGAGTCGTGTGAAAAGCCTTTATACTGTCGGCTCAGTCGGGATGGCTCTTTTCAAAGCGTTTAAGTTGTCATTCTGTGATTGATTGACTCGGGTTTTCCAGGCTTTTGGCAAAATACTGTTAAAACTGCTAGGGGAAAAAGCCGCAACTGCAGAGGCCGCCTGCGTCTCTGGCATGGAGCACCCTAAAGTCCTGCAAGTTGTCACAAGGCCCACGCTTTGTCTGGGGAAGGAGGGGACAGCACACTTCCCAGGGAAGCAGGGGGAACTGCGGGGACATGCAGGGCTGCCAAGTGAAGGCAGCCTCCCCCGAGGAGAGGAGAGTGACAGGCCAGCAGCTGTTGGGACTGTGGTGGAGGACCTCAACCAGGACAGCAGAGCAGTTCCCATTCACAAGGGTGCGTTGCACATATATGCACACGCGTGTGCTCATGTGTGTGTGTACTCTGCATCTTCCTACATCAAGTTCCTAGACTACAAGCTTCCGCGAGAAGCCACAGTCTTCCCTCCAGAGGGGAAGGAAACCAACAGAACCTTTCCCAGGGGAGAGGGGCCGCCCCTGAGGCTGGACAGCTGGTAGTGGGTGTACTGACCTCACTTCTGACTCAGTTTCTTCTGCTGTTACTTTCCTTTGGCTTCCCTTATCTTAATGTTACTTTTCACTTTTGTTTGTTGTGTTTATAGGTAAGCTTCCTTTAAAAACCTTCTGGAAGCTGGGTGCAGTGGCACATGCCTGTAATCCCAGCTACTCCACAGGAAGATCACAAGTTCTAGGTCCATCTCAGCAATTTAGTGAGAACCCGTCTCAAATAAAATGGGCAGAGGATGAAGCTCAGTGGTACAGCATCCCTGAGTTCAGTCCCCAGTATTGGAAAAAAAAAAAACAGTGATTCTTGTTACTTTGTAACATTTTACTAATCATGAAAAAAAAATTTTTAAATGTTGTTCTGTAATTTCAAAAGCTCCCAAACTGTCTTTTACAAAACACCAATTTTTAAAACATCAAATTCGTCTACCTTTGACTCTTTTATCCCATAGAATAATCTATGTGTGAATCCTAGAGTAGGCCTTTGCTCACAATGCACACCCCATTGGGGCTCTCTCTCTAAACAAGACAGGGAGACAAGGCGGAGGCTGCTGCCCAGGAGCTCCTGGCACCTGAACCCGTCAGTCTGGCTTCCTTGGCACCTGCAGGCACCACCCCCAGTGCCCAAGGCCTGGGAAGTTGAGTGCCCTCCATGTGTAAGCCCATCCTCCCGTGAACATAGGAACGTGGAAGGCACCGACTTCCCAGTGAGCTGAGCTCTTGGCTCAGAGGACTCGAGGCCAGCTCAGCAGTCAGGCCAGATGCCATGGCTCCCTGTGGCAGATCCTGTGCCCCACTTACCATGATGACAGAAACCCCGGTGGTAGTGCTGCTCTGTTTGGGAAGCGCGTTATTAAAGTGCTGCTTTAGTTTACCTGTGACCTCAGCGTGCATGTTGTTCTCCTGGGAAGTGTCGTCCTGCAGAAAAGAAAAGAATCACACACAGTGGTCTCTGATCCTCACACGGAAGCCGTCTTTCCTGTAGCAGTTACCACCCAACCAACCTCCTCTTCCTTAAATAGGCCCATCCTAGCCACAGGAGTAAGGGAACAGTGATCTTTCAAAAATTATTATTGGGGGCTGGGGTTGTAACCCAGTGGTAGAACACTTGCCTAGCATCCACAAGGCAATGGCTCAATCCTCAGCAACACACACACAATTATTGTTATGATTCAGAAATGTCATGCACTCAGAAAGACCCTAGACTATTCACTCCACTCCTGAGAACTAGAAAAGACCAAGGAGCCAGCACAGGTCTCCAATGGACAAGGAGGACAGTCATTAGGCTTCCGAGACCCTCTTTCGAGGCACATAATTTAGCTTGATCCCTTCTATGGCAACATGGAAAACAATTCAATTTATCATTTTCATCAAGAATTCATGCCTGGCATGGTGGTGCATGCCAATAGCCTCAGCTGCTCAGAAGGCTGAGCCAGGAGAATCTTTTGAGCCCAAAAGCTTGAAGCCAACCTGGGCAGCATAGCAAGAACCCCTCTTTTAAGTTAAAAGGAAAAAAAAAAGACAGTGGGAGGTCAGGAGCACGTGATCAGCATGCGTGAGGTCCTGGATTCAATCTCCAGCAATAAAACAAACAAAAGGAATTCATTTAATTATTCATCTTTATTGCTCATAAAAAGATGTGGCATCTCAGCTACTTGGTTCAAGAGCCCTGTCACTTAGCCCAGGAGAGCAGCCAGCAGGGTAGTAGAGGGAGGGCCCAGGGAGCCCCCAAGTCAACAAGAGCCCTTGGCTGTACATGAACTCTCTGGAGACTCCCACATTTACAATTTAGTTTGCTGTGTTTACAATAGGCTCAGAGGAAATGCTAGTCTACATCACACACCTCCGCCTGCCTCTGGAAGGGACTCAGACTCGCTGTCCCACAAGGGCTCTCCTATGACCATGCGGACACACCGCTCACAGTCTGAACATGCTCATCTCTGGGGCAAATCCTGAAAACCCAGAACTACAGGAGGCAAGACCTACAAGGCTGCTGAGAACACTGCCAGCCTCCTCACTGTGAAGATGAGGAACTGAGGGCCAGAGGTTACCTGCCCAGGTTACCCACAGAGCAGGATCTAAGACAATGGCACCCTGGTGTCAACTACCTTCTTCCAGAGAGCTCTGTGTGTGCTACTTGCTCATTAGGAAAGGCAGGGATTCCAGATGCTGCAGAGCGTGCACACACAGTTTTGGTGTACAAAACAGAGCAAGGGGCAGACATCCATTCCCTAGGAAGGTGGGTACTTACTGACACCCAGGGGTGACTCAAGATTTGTCCCGCAGTACACCGAGCTTCAACGTTTACCTGAAGCATTTGACTTATTAATTCCTATAAAAAAAGAAAGAAGACCACAGAGAAGGAAAAAGGGGAAAATTTCAGAATATAGAAATCTGAGCTTGCACCAAGCACTTCAGGGAACAGGCCACATAGCTGCTCAGACACTGAACGTGAAAGTCACACTCTTTGTGCCCACTAGGCATTTACCAGAGCCATCCACCTGTGTCACCGGCAGTGCAAGAGAAGGCTTCTCCCAGGCCTCCATGAAATCAAGATGTTCTCCGCTAGGAGTTCTGGGTTGTTGTCACTCCACAGGGTCCTGCTGCAGTATTTGGTCCTTTTGCCAATTCAGCAAGACTTGTGAGTTTATTCTTCTATTCTGATAGGCACCCACATAGTTCTTTTTTTTTTTTTTTACTTTTTATTTTTTTGGATATACATAATGGTAGAGTGTATTTTGACATTCTACATACATGGAGTATAACTTCCCACTTCTATGGTTGTATATGATGGGGAGTCATACTGGTTGTGTATTCGTATGTGAACATGGGAAAGTTATGCCCAATTCATTTTATTATCGTTCCTATTCCCATCCCTTCTCTCTTCCCTTCATTCCCCTTTGTCTAATCCAATGAACTTCTATTGTCCCCTCCCACCCCATATTTATTGTGTGTTATCATCCACATATATCAGAGAGAACATTTGGCCTTTGGTTTTTTGGGGTTGGCTTATTTCGCTTAGCATGATACTCTCCAGTTCCATCCGTTTACCAGCAAATGCCATAATCTTATTCTTCTTTCTGGCTAATATTCCATTGTGTATATGTACCACATTTTCTTTATCCATTCATCTGTTGAAGGGCACCTAGATTGGTTCCATAGTTTGGCTATTGTGAATTGAGCTGCTTTAAATATTGATGTGGCTTTGTCACTGTGGTATTCTGATTTTAAGTCCTTTGGGTATATACTGAGGAGTGGGATAACTGGGTCAAATGGTGATTCCATTCCAAGTTTTCCAAGGAATCTCCATTCTGCTTTCTAGTGTGGTTGCACCAATTTGCAGTCCCACCAGCAATGTACGAATGAGTGTACCGTTTCCTCCAAATCCTCGCCAACATTTATTGTTAGCTGCCAATACATACTTTGTGAATTAATGAAAGAATGAATGTTTAGAGGAACAAGGTAGGCATGGTGGACCAGGAAGACAGACAGTTAGGCTTTCAGCATTTGGTTAAGAACTTCAGGGACTTTCCCCCGGGATGGTGGACTTAAAGAAGGACCATACATTAAAAATTGAAGAAGTCCTGGACCTACATGCCCCATGTGACAGGTGAGTACCCCATGACACAGCTCAACCCACAGAGTCAGGCCTAGACGGTACCTTAGCTGAGTCTGTGATGTTATCCCAGTAGGGCGCTGGAAACTCCAGCTTCCCAGCCAAGATCTGGTCGAAGAGGTCTTCCTGGAGATTGTTCTCACTAAGTGACAAAGAAATGGGAGAAAAGTCAAGTCACCCAACAGTTTTTCAAAGAAATGCTCACGGGAAGTGGAGTCAGTCTCCCTGGCTTGGGCCTTTCATGTTTCAGCGTGTGTCACAACTGCAGTCACAATCTTTCCTTTTAGACAAGGAGACAAAGAGCATTTCTGCAGGTCTGGGAATGAGAGAAACAGGCGATCACTTAAGAAATTCACTGAACGAATGCCAAGTTTCTGTTTGGGAAGATGAAAAAGTTCTGGAGATGATGGTAGGGATGGCTGCACAGTGAGAGTCCTCTGTGCCACTACCCCCTACACTTAAAGATGGTTAAGATGGAGGCCATGTACCTGTCATCCCAGCTGTGAGGGAAGCCGAGGCAGGAGGCTCACTGGAGCCCACAAGTTTAAGATCAGCCTGGGCAACACGAAGAGACCCTGCCTGGATGAGTGGAGTAGGGACAGTTAGGATGGCAAATTCAATCTCATGGAGATTTACCACAATAAAAAAATGACTCACAAAAAACAGAATCTACAAGTGATGGAAATTTTCATTTCAAGCAAAAATGAAAACAAAAACCAGTCCTCACTTCTCTCTCATGGCGGAGTAGAGAAGCAGCAAACCTGAGTCAGATACACGTGACTGTCCTCTTTCTATGTTTCTAAGAAAACAGCAAAGATCAGTGAAACAGCTGACCTATGGAAAAGTGGAGGGAGCGCAGAATCTGGATCCAACATCCATGACTGAATCAGCTCCCCACTAAGACTCGGCTCTCTCTCAGACCCCAAGGAAGAGCCTCCCTGAGGAGGCACCTGAGATTACAGACCCAGCAAACCCACCTTGGCGGCTCCCAGGTGGGCATCCCCTGCAAGCCCCCGTGCAGAGGGTCCCACCCCACAGGTGCACGCTAGGCACAGTGCTGCCTGATGAAGAAATGACGCGAGTTTCAGATGAAGGCACCGGGAAATGTGAACACACCAGTGGGAAAGTCAGGCTCTTGGCAATTTCTTGGCAGCCACAGCGCTGTGGGCACACAGATGGCTGGAGTGAGGGACAGAGGGAGGGACAAGTCTTTCTCTTTCTGGGACCATTACTGGGCCCCATCAGAAAATTCAGAATGGGTGGCTGGGACCAAGATCAACGTCCAGAAGTGGAAGCTGTACTTCCGGCAAGTGCGTGGCATTTCCCGGAATTTCTCCACCCAGCCTTCAGGGTTTTGTTCTCAGAGAGGGACAAAGACAAACGCGGTGTCCCTAGATGTAGATGGTTTATGGCAATATCTAGAGACAAATTCTAGGGCTCCGTGATGATAAGGCAGCCTCGTTTTTGTTCTATTTTAAAAAAGAAGAGTTTATGAGCTTTGTGAAGACCTGGGCTTGGAACCACACCCAGCCTGATGGACATCTGCGGGTCCGTGCAGCCTGGACAAAGGCACGGCGAGAAGGTCGGGCTGGACATCCAGGCATGGGAGAGACCCTCCCTCTTGTCTGAAGAGTGACCTTCTGGGACACATGGATTTCCTTGTAGGTTTCTTTCTTTCACTGTTACATCCCTACGACTGCACTCAGCTCAAAACCCCTTTCACAATGAGTGAAGAACACACAGAGGGACACAATGAGATTTCACAGGAGCCTTCAGGAAACCAGAGGACAACAGACGGGTTAGGAGAAGACAGAAAAAAAAATGATCTATTTCTGAAATTGTTCCTTCAAGCTCTCTCCTTATTCCACTGATCTCACCTTGATTTCCTTGGAATCTCAAATAGCCTACGTTCTGTCAATCTGTTTAGCTTTCTTGTTGTTCATAAGTAACTGGACGCTGTCAGAAGGACTGTGGCACTTGGAGATGTCACCCAAGTCAACAAATAAAACCCTGGGGCATCTCAGCAACTACAGCAGGAGGGACCCCAAAGCATGACCCGCAAGACCTGTAGCACCCACTGGAAGAAGAGAAAGCCATCAGACAAGAAGAGATAACCCATCAGCTACCCTGAACCCACACTGGATGTATTGTCACAGGGACATTCTGCCACCTGGCTGAGATGCTTCTGGCACTTTTTAATTCTAAAACAACACAGCCCTTGGAAGCAGGTGCTGGATGTGGAAAACTGACCAGTAAGAAAAACCTCAAAACAACAAAAGAGTCAGCACACACCCCCTGTCCAGGGACAAGCCATCCCCGGTCAGACAAGGCAAGGCGGGCCACTGACGTCCCAGGGCCTCAGTTAAGGAGTGAAGAGAAACATCAAGAACCCTCCTTCTGCCCTATGAATACTTCTTGTCAGTGGCCCTAAGAACAGATTTGCCTAGGCAGCAACGGAAATTCGGAGTGCTCTCAAAAACCAATCTCCTTCCTAGTACAGATGAATCTGAGTGAAAAAAAGAGTGGAGGAGAACACATCAAACCAGGGCTAAACCTTAAAACCTTGGAAGAAGAAAGAATGAGAGACGTGGTGGTCAGAGACGCTGAAACTGGAATTTCCAAATAACAGTTTCAGCTCAGAAGTTTTAGGTTTAAGTTGCCTTCTAAATAAAGCAAAAAATAAATATTGATATATTTGTTTAAAGAACTTTTACTTCAGGTACAAATTTATGTAGATAACCTATTTTACACCATAATCATTTGAGTTCCCAATTCCATAACATTCCATATGCTTTTTTATACTATAACGATAGGAAATCTACTTACAACATCTCTGTATGCTGCACAGAGGTTCTGTAACTAGTGTTTAATAGCACAGACTCCGTTTCAACACAATGATATGAAGGAGGGAAAGCATTTTCTTTAACTTTGGAAGAGGGCTCCCTGGGGCTGTTGGGGTCGGCCTCTGCATAGCAGGGCAGCTTTCAGTGTAGCCAACCGATTCTCATTAGCCAAGGTCACATCTAGATCCCACAAAGAAGCTGCTGCCCACTGGGTAGCCATCCATAAGCACATACTGCTCCATTGGAGTTTCACTTATTAAAAAGTAAAGAAAGTCTTAAAAAAAAAAAAAAAAAGGCAGCAAACCCCCAGACCAAGGACCCACCCAGGCTGCACTGGTGACCACAAACACTAGAGGGAGTCGTGAGCACACATTCCGGTAAACCTGATCCCCAGGGTCCTTCCCTGCGGATCTCCACTTGTCTATAGCCTCCAGGGAAATGGCTGCTAAGAGCCCCAGGTCCACCTGCTACCAAAATTGGCTCCTCTTCTACATTAGACTAGTTCTCACTCAATGGGTCGTCACTAAAACCAGCCAGGGCCCAGCGTGACTGTAAAAATGGAATATGTTGCCCTCGCTCTGACAGACTCGCTTTCTTCACTTTCCCCCACATTTACTCCAGAGTTAGCTACTAGAAGTGATCTGATCAATAGTGACAAGGGCGAGGTGAGCAGAGACTGGGAAAGGGACAGGGCGGTAGAACTCGTCTTCTCTCTGGCTGCTTCTGGGAATCCTGCCTCCTACATCGTGAGAAGCCCAGGCCAGCCCAGTGGATGATGAAAAGGCATGTGGCCAGGTCATCTCTGTTGTCCCGGCGGACATCCAGCCCACTATCAGGCACATGAGTGAGGCCACGCTGGACCACCACGTCCCACCATGTCAGTACGGAACCACCTAATCAACCCACAGGATTGTTTCCCACCCCTAACTGTGGAGTGGTTACTTGGCAAAAGCTAACTACCAGGTGCACTAATCCTACAGCCCATGAAACCCACCTGAGCATGACCTTGAAGGAAGACCATGATGTTGATGGCCAGATGGACAGACTGTCCTCCTATAAAACTCTCCCGTACCTCAAGGTCCCACTCCACTGTTCCATCTTGCTTTCAACATTTTATGATTTCTAGCCCTCAACTAAGCATGTCCTCGAGCTTTAGTCTTCCTGATCAATATTTCTGTGATGTAGGTTTCTAGACCATAAAACTCACAAAGCAAAGACTAACATCTCTGTGTCAATCTTCTGCTGATGGCAAAAAAACAAACAAACAAACAAAAAACACTGTTCAACTTAGTTAAAAACCTTTCAACTTTTCTGTATGCTTGAAAGTTTTCATATTCAAATGAGAGAAAAGATAAACCTATTTTTCACTTACAGACCCAAGACAACACTATAAACACCAAGACCAAATTGTGGTGTCTCCCCAGAATTCATATGTTGAAACTGATCCCCAATATGATGGCATGAGGAGGTGGGAGGTGACAGATCACAAAGGCAAAGTCTTCATGAATGGGGTTCATGTCCTGGTAAAGGATCTTGCCCCCCCCACCCTTTCCTTTCTGCTATGTGTTGGTGCAGGGAGAAAATGGCTATCTATAAACAGAAGGTGATCCCCCAACAGACACCAAATCTGCTGGTGCCTTCATCTTTTACTTCCTGTTTCCAGAACTGGGAGGATTAATTTCCATTGCTTCTAAGCTACCCAGACTGGGGCATTTTGTTACAGCAGCAGGAACAGACTTAAACACACCACAGCCACAGGGATTAGGCTCTGTCCCCACTTTATTCCCAGCACTTAGAAGAGTGGCTGCCCTACAGCAGTTATTCAACAAATGAATCTAAAATGATTAAAGGGATTACAATAAAAACAACACTCAAGGAAACAGAAGAAAATCAAATGTGCATTGTGAGATGAACTCTGGCTTCAAAGTCATTCATTTGCTCCAGAGAGAGACATGACACTGACCAGAAGAGCTGCAGCCAAGCCCCTCACTTTTGCCAGGACCCAGGCTGCTAGGTGAAGAAGGGTGCAAAGCCCTGGACCATCATCTGTGGCCACCTCCACTCCACCAGGGGAGGAGCTCGTTCTCAGGCATGCTGATGCCAAAAGTTACTTGTGATTCTACTTCTTTACTGAATAGCATGTGAAGGGCTAAAATGAATATAAAAAGAGAGTGCCTGTTTCTGTAAGAACAAAGTTGAAAACTTTGTAAAGATTACACAAAAAGTGAACTGTTTAAGAAAAAACTATCAAATTAAGTAAAAGTGACCATTATTGACAACTGGGGGTAAAAGTCTACCTGAAAGGATTCAGCTACTTCACAAGGATTTTTAAGTTGTACTCTTACTTAAAAAGACTGAGAAACTAGAAATCGTAGACCCTGAAATTATGGATATACTGTATGAAAGAATGGCCACAAGAAACTCAGGACCATACGCAAAGCAGAGGCCTTGCCTCTCATCTGAAGTGTGGTCAGGCTGGGGTGTAGCTAGAGTGGGTGCTCAGCAGGTATGAAGTCCAACTCCTAAAACAAAACAAAACAAACCAACAAAAAAGGTGTGGTCAATGAATACACATTGACAGGCTGTAAATTAAGATGAAAAAGTGAAAGATGCCTTTACAATGTTTAACATTTTTATTGGCCAACCAGTTTCTGATCCCAACTGCCAGGAATAAAGCATCGGAGAATGTATAATCCCAATAGAGTCACCCAAAGCACCACTGACCTTCGGAATGGTGGGAATCCACATAGAAGTATGTAGGTGATCACACCAGCCGCCCAAATGTCCACCTTCAGGCCATAGCTGGGGAAACAGAGGAAGGAAGGAATGAGATACAGCCCCCAAATACCCTCCATGGAGGGAAAGATTGGGGGTCATCAAAGTGTTCATTTCATGTAGAAGAATGAATCAGCCTTTGGTCAAAGTCATCTGTTTCTCTTTCAACCCAACTACAATCTTGGTGACTCTTGTTCAATGACAAACACTGTCTCCGGGGCAAAAGTCCCCGCGTAGGGCTCTTGGCCAGGTAAGCACAAACTCAAGTTCCTGACATCAAAGTCATAGTGCAGGCCACACTGCCTCACTTCTCGCCTTCACAGGAAGCACTCAACACACAAGCACAGTTGCCACAAAAATGTACTTTCTCCCCCAGAGTTAAAGCACTAACAACCACCAGGGCTCTTACCCGGTCTCAGCGATGATTTCAGGGGCCACGTAAGTCGGCGTGCCACAGACCGTGTACAAAGGGCCTTCTACCACCGTGGCCAGCCCAAAGTCTCCCAGTTTCAAAGACTTGGTTCCATCGGGGTATTCACACACCTGCAGCAGAAAGTAGCCTACAGTCAGAAGGTTCCCCCAAAGCAACTTCAAGAGGGCCCTCAAAATGAAGCGGAAAAGACAGGTACACTTATCAGTCAACTCAGAAGAATTCACTCCGTGTGATATGAACACCACGAGTTGCCTCTGATCTTTGATTCTTCTCTTCAGGGATTTTGCTTGACTGTGAAATTTGGAAGACACTGTTTTCCATCTTTGCAGAAAGTAAACTACCCTAGGAACCTAAGGAACCACTGTGCTTGCTCCCACGGACAGGTGGCTGCTTATGTGATGGGCTTGAGGGGCCTGGAAGCCTGGAGGCAGGAAACTGACCTTTATTTAGTACTGACTGTGTGCAAGGCACTGGACAGCCAAAGAAAGGGTGCTTATTAAACCACCAGAGTACTTCAGGAGTCATTAAAGTTTACTCTAGGAAACAAAATTAGGGGTGGGAATGGCAGCCTTGTTTTCTATACAATGATAAAATATAAAATATAAATATCATAAACTTTTTGTTTGTTTGTTTTGTTTGGTGGTGCTGGGGATGGAACCCAGGACTAAGCAAACACTCTACTACTGAGCTACACCCCTAGCCAAAATGCAAATATTATATAGGGGAAAACCCTGGAAGTTTGGGGGGTGGAGAATGGACTTTGGTATTAGCCTCCATCTGAATCACAGCTCTACTCATCTCCTGGCTGTATGACCTGTGAACATCGCTTCACCTCTCTGAGCAGATCCGGGAAGTGCAGAGATACTCAGCCTTTCCTGGTGGAGCTGGTGTGAAGGCATACTGTGGCAAACACAGATCAGGGTTCAGTAAACACTGCCTCCAGTCCCTGGAGGATTGGCTGGCGACATAATTATCACCCGGGAAAAGGTTTAAAAACGCTGGTGAAGAGGTGAACATATATGCTTCAACTGAAGCATGTCTGCAGTGCTATCAAGAATCTTAACATTGTTCATAACCTTTGACCCAGTAAATCTGCATGTAAAAAATCTATCCTAAGGGAAAAGGGACAGACCCAAAGGCCCAACATAGGGACGTTAATATCAGGATTTACGACGTATGATTAGAAACTGGAAGCAACACAAACCTTTAACAGGGCAGTGGTGTTTATAGTGATTTGTATAGTAAAATATTATACAGTTGCTAATAAGCACTTTTCAAATAAATATCATATGAATGACATTCAATATATTATATATAAAAAAAAATCATATATGAAATATAATGCCCCAAATGTTAACAAGAAGTTGCATTAAGGATTATCTTAATTTTCTTATTTATGCTTTTCAGTAGTTTGCAAAACATTTATAATGACCATGTATTAGTTCTATAATTAAGAAAAATGATTTTTATATAAAAGCAACTTTTCCTTATGGGATAAAAATCTGAAAGTTACATTCTAAATCAATAGTTTCAGAAGCAAGCACACACACACATATACATGTGTGTCTGTATGTGTGCATATATGTATATACACGTGTACATATATATGTATGTATATATATAAACAGCTTAATTTGGATTTGACTGTGTAGTCTTTTTAAAAAAAATTTTTTTTTTTAGTTGTAGATGGACACAATACCTTTATTTATTTGTTTTTTTTATTTTTATGTGGTGCGGGGGAACGAACCCAGTGCCTCACACATGCTAGGCAAGTGTTCTACTCCTGAGCCACAACCCCAGTCCCCTGTATAGTCTTTAATTTGCTGATATCATCTGTCTCTTGGGTGCCTACTTTAAAAATGATGAATTTCAGGACTAGGGCTGGGGCTCAGTGGTAGCGCGTTTGCCTGGCATGTGTGAGGCACTGGGTTCGATTCTCCGCACCACATATAAATAAATAAAATAAAGGTCTATCAGCAACTAAAATATATATGTGTGTATATGTGTATGTGTGTGTGTGTGTGTGTGTATAATTTAAAAATAAATAATGAATTTCAGAGAAAAATAATTTCAGAGACCTCGTCTACACTGCCTTTCTCTTTTTGTATATTAAGTATATTTTGTTTGCTTTTGCTCTCATTTTACTATGGGATGAACCAGATTTTTACCTCAACCACTACTAACTAGAGGAGAAAAGTCTAGAAAATGTTCTTTCCAGACAAGGATGCTAACAATGTCATCTGTTAGTCTGAAACTTGGTGGTGGCTGATTTATAAGGTCAGCAACAAAAAGCATCAAGATCCCAGGGCTCCCCATGCCAAGGGTTCCCCAGGCTTTACAGGTATTTTATAAAGTATGACAGCATAACACCTCCCTTACCTGCAAAGACCTCATCTGAGTAAGAACAGTTTTTACCTTGGTATTTTCATCACTTCTTCCATGCTTATTATATATACATCTTTATGACTTAAAAGTATCATAGGAGGATTAGTGGTGAGAATTTTATGTCCAGCTCAGATATTTCTATTTTGAGTCAGCAGAAACATATTCAAAGATATTAATGATTTAGCCTAAAGTCCCAAAGTCTAGGTTCTTACTCATCTCATAGACTTAAGACAACTTTCTATTCACTAGACTTAGACGTAGACATTAACAAGAACAATCTACTATAATTACAGTTAGGATTTATGATGCATTTACTGAAACCCAGACATTAGAAATTCCCTAAGTAACTTCAGCGATAAGAACATTATAAGCACAATTTCCTAAATGTCTGTATCGTGAGTCAAAAAAAAAAAAATCTTACTGATGTCATTGTTATTTTGTTTATACAACTTAAAAACACACTCATTAGGTACCAGTTTTGAAAAATAGCGTTTATATTAAACACTCAATTTGGAGATGCCTAGGGGTATTTTAGAGTTGCTGTTGGAATCTCAAAAGTCCCTGAAGCCCCATTTTTCACAAACCCATAAAGAATTCAGAGTCAGATGCAGGGGCATAAGTAGGAAGGGATTAAACAGTCTATAGTCGCTGAATTATATCTGGGCAAGCGGTGCTCCTTGACCAAACACCAAAAGGGACGTGCCCTGAGGGGCAGACAAGCCTGATTCATCTCTCCCCAATGCTACACACAAAAGAAAATATGTAAAATATGAGTCACTTTCAAATCTTACCTGGAGATTCTCTCCAAAGAAGGAAGAAAAATTAAATATATGTTGTATTGATAGCATTCCTTTTAAAACACTGACTTTAGGGTTGGGGGTGTAGCTCAGTGATAGAGCACCTGCCCAGTACGCCCCAGGCCCTGGCTTCCCTCCCCAGCACTGCCAAAAGAAATAAGGAAAACTGACTTCAGGGCTGGGGGTTTAGCTCGGTAGTGGAGCACTTGGCTAGCATCATTCCTGAAGCCCTGGGTTCCACCCCCGGCAACAAAAAAAAAAGAGTGAGAAGAAACGAAACTGACAATTGACCTTAATAATGAGGTGAATAAATGAACAGGGACTCCAAGGCATTTTCAAGGACTCTGTAGCTAAAAATATTTTCCCAAACTTTATCTTAGTGGACTTCTGTAGTGAGCCCACGGGGCAATTACAGCACTATTATTTCCATTTCACAGATGAGGAAACTGAGACACAATAGCAGAACTCCAGCTATCGATAAGTGGCCAAATAGGGTTTTCAGCCAGGACTCTTGCTACCGACTTCCTTTCTTACAGCCACACCATTCTGCAGTATACCCTGCCTCTGAACACGGCTGCCAGAGCCCTGACGGCCGGCTGCACGTGCACAGGTTGGGAGTGGATTTCAATGGCAATTGTGAGAGCTCCAGCCCCGCAGTGTTCAAATGCCCCACCACACACCAAGAGATGCTCTAACAAAAGTTGCTCTTGGAATGCAAAAATAAAATATGTGAGGAATGCAGGTCCCCCATACCAAATGAGCACTGCATGCTCTCTCTAAATAAAATGTCAGTGTAATGATTTAGAAGGACTTCAAATAGGAGAAACCAACCCTCTTCTCTCCCCTGTCCCCAGAACTCCTGGAAAAGGTGGAATTTATCACTGGTCTCTCATAGTTAACTCTGACAGAGCACTGCCGGGCTGTAACTCACAGCATTAACGGCCACCCCTGTGCTCCCTGACACAGCGACCCATACATCTCTGCTGGCAGGGTTTTAAATTATGACACTGCTACCAGGAAAGGGGATGCAAATCAGATGTCTGAATGCTCTGGTGTTTAAAAACTGAATTAGTTCTTAGACAGGGAGAGGCTGGCAGTTGCTCTGGGTATTTCTGTTTAGGGTCCCGATGACACTTTTTCCCCCAAGGCCAATGCAGACCTGCTGACTAAGCCCAGAGGCAGATGAGTGAGCCAGTAGGTTCTCAATGGCTGGCACACCTTACTTACGTATGTGCATCTGAGGCTGTTTCTGGGCCTGATCCCCTGGCCTTGCTACATCACACATCAGCATCACCTGAATGTCAGTTTTATCACCTTCATTCTCCCCTTTGGGTAGCACATGGAGGTTGGTTCAGATTTTGGAAGAGGTGAACATTCATTTAGGACAGATTAGACTAGATAAGAAACTTGATTCCGATTTCCTGATCACTCTCTGTTGTTAGAAACAGCCATACTGATCATATCATCTATCCTTGATGTACAACATGAGGAGGGAATACTGGGTTCAGATTCTAAGGAGACTTCATAAGTGTTAAGAAACCAAGTGGCAGGCAGAGGGTGGAGCTCCCTGGTACAGTGCTTGCCTCAAATGCATAAGGCCCTGGGTTCCTGCCCCGCCCCCCCACCCAGCACTGCACAGAAACCAACCAGCCAGCGGGTGGGAGAGGGAGGGGGAGGGACCATGAGCAGAAGGGGTGGTGAGTGGGACCAATGAGTTGGAAAATGGACACTCTGTAATGCTCATCTCCTTCCTCCTTGGGCCTTGGCAATCAGAGCTGTAGGACAGGTTGGCTCAGGGTAACCAGTCCTTCCCCAGAAATCTATGGCTTCCATGTTCACAGAGAACAGTAGGAAGGGGCTGTGCAGAGCAAGGAGTCAAGGGGCATTCTCAATAATACAAAACTACAGCCACATCTGGAGGAAGCCCTGTCACCTTTGCTTGTAAAGCCCCTGGCCAAGCTCAGTCAGACAGTGGAGGGGCCTGGCAGCTGCTGCTAGACGTAATAGTGAGAAGTCTGTTTGGAGACGTGAACACCACACTTTTGCTCTTATCCTGAGGCTTAACTTGCACCTCTGTCTCTTTTCCTCATTAGAGTTTGAAGACAGAGTTGGAATGTAACTTTTTTTTTTTTTAATACAGCAGGGATTTTTTTTCCAATTGGAACATGTGAAAATGAAATTCAGGTTGAATATCCCGTATCAAAAAGGCTTGGGGGGCTGTGGATATAGCTCGTGGTGGAACACTTGCTTAGCATGTTCAAAGTCCCAAGATTCATTCCAGCAAATAAGCCCTATTAGTGGACAAGGACTATGTGCATACATAGTCCTCGCTACACAGGAAACTAAGGCAGTAGGGTGGTTGGAGCCCAGGAGATTGAGGCCAGTCTGAGCAAGGTAGTGAGATCCCTTCTCTTAAAAAACAAATGCACAACAGGGGGAGGAAAAAGGGAGGATCATGAACCAAAATCAATTTCCATGCATGTCTGAGTTTGTTAGGATGAACCCAACTACAGTGTATAACTACTGAGACCTAGTTATCAAGAAAAAGAAAAAAGTGGAAAAAAAACAGTAAATCTGTCTCCCCATCAGTTGATGCAAAACCTTGACACTAAAGAATTTGTTCACTTATTTAAAAAAAAATGCACAGAACCATAAATGTTTTATATTTTGGAATATTTTCATATATATAATATTTAGGGGATGAGGTCCAAGTTCAACACAAATTAATTTATGTTTCATTTACAATATTTTAAATAATTTTGTTCATAAAACAAAGTTTCATGGTGTGGAATATTGTGACACATTGGTACTTAAAAGTTGCACACTTTGGAGGATTTTGGATTTTGAATTTTGGGGTTGGGATACCCAATCTGTTTAATTTCCTCAAGGCAGATGATAGTTTTAAAAAAAATGGGGGCTGGGATGTGGCTCAGTGGTAGCGCGCTCATCTAGCATGCGTGAGGCACTGGGTTCTCAGCACCATATAAAAATAAAAGATATTGTGTCCACCTAAAACTAAAAAATAAATATTTTTAAAAATGCACATACTTTTAGATGGACATTGAGAAATTATCAAATGCTATTACCAAAAAGGGAAAATGAAAATTCTGGATTAAAAAAACAATTAAAATCCCTGGGACGGCTCCAAAGGCTGCACACATATCTTTGAACAACCACGTGGGTGGTGCAAGCCTGAGCAGGGCATCCAGACCTGTGTTCAAGTGCCAGCTCCCGGCCAGCTGAGCGACCTCTGCACATCCACGGTGTGTTCACACGGTCCTGTCCAAGGGATTGGAGATGAAAAGGAAACTGAGACGACATCAACCTCGACTCTGTGGTGCTTACACCTGAAGGACGGTCGAGTGGAAGATAAACCCCAACACCGTGGCAAGTGCAGCAGGGGCCTGAGGTAACCGGAGCTAAGCCCTGCTCCGAGCATCGGGGGTCAAGTTGAAGATCTAACTCTTGCTCTTAGCATCTCACAAGAGGAACAGGTTTGCCACACTGAGGGGAGAGGGGATGCTGCAATGGCGACCAGGATGGACAGAAGCAACGGAGGTCAGGCTGGGCTGCTGGGGAGGAGTTTGGGTTGCCATGGTGCAGAACACTCGGCTAACCTCACCTCCCAAGTGCTAAGTACGATACTCAGCCCAAAAAGGTGGGAGAAGTCAACTGTCCAGCGTGTGTTTAGAGGGATGTGTGCATGCAAAATTCCACTAGCTTCTCTAGACTCCCTCTGCAGTGTGGTCACAAGGACTGGCTCCCCACGAGCAAGCTGTGTTGTTATCAAGGCACACTGTGGAGGTGAGTTATGACAGGAGAGGAGGCTGGAAAAGTAGACTGGGACATTTATGGTGATCCCTGAGTATCATAGTAATGAACAAGGCTTTTCCTCCTGTAGAACAATAGGATAATGCACTTCCAAGAAAAAATAGCATCTCCTGGTCTCAATTTTCACACTGTAAAACTGAGACGGACAGGACTATTTCCAAAATTCTCTCCTGCACTTAAAGGAACCTCCATGTTTTACTTTGGTCTCTTAGGAATCTCTACTTCTTTCTCCAAATTTATTTTACAGAATATTTGACCCATAAAATAAATTTCATGCTCTTCTTTCTTCAGTCAATATCATTGCTATAGGGATTGGGGTTGTGGCTCAGCGTAGAACACTCACCTAGCACATGTGAGGCCCTAGGTTCAATCCTTAGCACCAAATAAAAACAAATAAATAAAATAAATACATTAAAAAAATGGAAATCAATCAAAACATCTAATGTCTGGTAAACAGTAAATGCAAATCAGTTCAATAAACTATTAGTATTTTAAGGTCACTGACTTGACTCCTGCTGCAGGACCTGAGCTCTTACTACAGGACTGGTTTAGATCCTGGTCCGTCACTGCTTGCTTGCACATGATACGATCATTTTAAAGGACAAACAGTACAAGGTGAAACAAAAGACAGGAAGACGACGTACCAAGAGGTTCTCTGGCTTGATGTCTCTGTGCACGATGCTGAGGCTGTGGAGATACCTGAGGGCGTTGGCCAGGTTGTACACCATGGCGCTGCCATCTCTCTCCGTGTACTTGGTTGAAGAAGTAATTGCATCAAAGAGGTCTCCACCCTGAAGGATATGGAAAAGAACTCAGCAAAACATCAGCGGTGCAGTCCATTGAAGGCCAAGGAAGTGCTTCAGGTGCTGCTAAAACTGACGATTGTGAACAAGGAAAGTTACAGGCAGCAAGACACGTGTCTGATCAGGCCTTCCAGAACACTGTGAAGCCCTGGGATCGGGCGCCGAGGGGATTGAGCATCTCCTTACCTTGACCAGTTCCATCACCAGGAAGAGCTCGGTCGCCGTCTCCATCTCCTCGACGAGCATGATGATGTTGGGGTGTTTCACTCTGCGCAGTATCGACACTTCGTTCTCAATCAGGTGTTCCTGTCAAGTGAAGGGTGCAGAGAGGGTCAGAGCCCACAGCACCCTCTGCCCCGTCCCTGTGGATAACACTCCCGGTAGACCCGAGGCCAAGGAGGCATCTCTTGACACAGAGGCAACCACATCCCCCACCTACTTGGCTCCTACAGGACAGGACAGGTCAGTGCGGATGTCTTATTGTCACTGCCAAAAAGAACCAGACCTCTGAACGTGCCCCAGAAGCTCAGAGGTGCTTCTCTGGAACATAAAGCATATTGCTTCAACTCAGGGGCTGTGACTGGTGAAAGCGTGGGCACATAGCACTGTGCTTTGCAAGTCAGTGGACCACTTTTAATTCCACTACATACTCCAAAGTAAGGATGAGGCATGTGCACCTGGATGCAGTGGCACATGCCTGTAATCCCAACGACTCAGGAGGCTGAGGCAGGAGGATCGTAAGTTCAAAGCCAGCCTCAGCAACTTAGCCAGGCTGTAAGCAATTTAGTGAGACCTTGTCTCAAAATTTAAAAAAAATTAATTAGTTAATTAAAAGGGCTGGGGATGTGACTTAGTGGTTAAACAACCCCTGGTTCAAATCCCTAGTACCCACCCCCCCAAAAAAACGATAAGGCATCAAGGCATGTAGAAAAACTTGGTAAGCTTATGGCACATAACACACCTGGCATTAAACATTTTTAGTTTTTAACCATTACCAATATGAATTTTACTTCCGTGCTGAAATTCATTAAAAAAAAAGAAACTTCCTGCCTTTATAACTAGATATGAAATCCTTCACCAGATGGCTGGTCCTGCTCATCTTGCATTTCAGAAATCTGAAAACACATAGTGCCATGGGGACCACTACTCTCATTTTAACTTAATCACTTCTCTGAAAATGCCACCCGATTATCAGCCCTGGTGAGTAATGCAGTTGGGATCTGTGCTGTAGCAAAATGTTTACTTACAGAAATTAAGGAATCATTCTCAATACGTGAAGCCATGAATCACGAGCAATGATTGCTTTATTTTAAATGAGACATGAAAACCCCTTGGCAATACCACATTTGTTGATCCTCATTAATGTCAACGATGAATTATTTTGAATTTAGAGAATGCTCTATAAAATGTGCTAATTGCCTTCTTACCACATTCTAGGAATTCCAACTGGATAGCCTTTACATAAAATGTACCTTACGAGAAATATCATTCACTACCTAAACACACATGTATGTACACACCTACATAGATACGTGCATCCATATCATTCATATTGCTCCTGTGCCTTTTCCATTACGAATCTCAGAGCAAAATTTAGTGCTCTGATATAGTATTTTATCCCTCGTTGGATACCATCTACGGTTCCTCTCTTGTCTTCATGTATCCATGTATGTATGTATTTTTACTCTAAGCCATCTCAAATCCTTTTTGACGATAGCTGGAGATATTAACTATGACAAATAAATAAATAGCATTCAGAGAAAATCTGCTGCAAGCTCTTGCATATGGCCAGTCGTGTTGCTCGAGCGTGGAATGCACCGCGCTCGTCCAAGAAGTCACTCGATAAATGTTGGCAGGTGAAGCGCAAACGCTAAGCAGAAGCAAAGAGAAGGAAGGAACCAACCACGGCTAGAAATCTGCTCACTCATGTCGGTCACTGTAAGGTATTTGGGTAATCTTTTAACTCTTCATCCTTAGAAGTGTCCTTGGAGTAGGACCTAGGTGTCCGGCATCTGAATCTACATCCCCCGCACTACACATGGCTTTTCTAAGGGGAATGCTTCAGTAAACTTCAACTTGGAATTTTTCTAAATGAAAATGAAAGCTACAAAGCTGAAAATATTTAATGCTACAAGCAGTAGCATTCACACTGACCTGGGGGTGGAGAATCACACCAAGCTTCGTGTAAGAAGAAAAATCTGAAATCTACACAGAGAGCAAGGCTGGGAAGTCTTTGACTAAGTTAGGACTCACTCAGCACTTCCAAACCTTCCAGAACACAGCAGTCCTCAGACCTCGCAAACCACCGCTGGGAAGGGAGGGACAGGGCCTCCTCCCCGCTTCCAAGTACCATCTGTCTAAGTTACAGAGCAGTCCACTGCAGCAGGCGGCCAGAGACCTGTCCCTCCCTCGGGAAGCAGCTGTGCACCCCACGCTGTCGTCACAAATGAAAGGCTTGGCAAACCCTTCACATTTATTCACACATTTTGAAGCATTTAGATCATCTGTGCCAAGTATGTCCCCAGTCACACTAAAAAAAGCAGAGTTATATGTAAAAGCAAGCAAATGGATTTGTTTCACTTTTATGTGAAGCAAAGACAATGACAGTTACTACCACTGTAGTAAAATAGGCTTTTTATTTTATGGTGCCAGGGATTGAACCCAGGGTCACCCAACCCCCTATTTCATTTATTTTATTTTTTTTTTAATTTTGATCAAACCTGTGATCCTCCTGCCTCAGCTTCCCAAGTCTCTGGGATTACAAGTATGCGTGTCACCATGCCCAGTTGAGGCTTTTCATTTAAAAGCTAAGTGTATCTATCACTTCAACTCTTCTCCCCAATTCCTTTTCTCCAAAGTTGGAAGAGTCTATAAACTTGCTTCTCCAGGTCTCTAACTGTGATGTGAATTTACATGTGTCAAGTAACCCCTACCACCAGGACCCGAAGCAGCTCTCTCAAATTGGGAGTTAAAGTTAGATGTCTGCCACACAAGCAAACTACAACCTCCCCAAAGTTATTATCTTTTTCAATCAAAGGCATGTGGAAAGCCTTGGGGGGTCACACTGTGCACTTCTCCAGGGCCACCAGCAGGGTTGTGTGTCAAATACCAAGCAAGCCCTGCAGCCCTGCTTCCTCCGCCATCACCCACCATCTCGCTCTCTGCACCCACCTGCCAACGGCCAGGACCCCAAGCACAGGGAATGCCTCCATTGGAGGTGGGAGCTGGGAGCCTCTGCTTCTCCACCTCTTCCCATCCCTGTGGAACTGCCTACGAACCAACACTCCGCTTTCTAAACCAATCACCATCAGAAGCGAACCAAAGCACTTCCCAGAAACGTCAGTATAGACGTTGTCTCCCCATTTCTCAGGCAACCCGTTTCTAATATTTAAAAATATTCTCTAATTACATTTTCAAGAATATTTTAAAATATCATATGAATATTACTTTTGTTCTGCCTCATCTTGGGCCCAGAGCAATGGGGTTGTTCACAGTATTTGATTATCTACTGTTACTCATGTTAGGGGACTCACGATTCTAATGCCAAAAAGTTCACCTGTGAGTCATTTCGAGGCAGTGTTCTGCAGCTCAGCAGGAGGGTAAATGACAAGACTGCCAACCTGGCAAAGGACATGGCCTTACCTTTTGACCTTGGTGATTTTGTGTGTGTGTGTTGGGGTGAGGGGAGTACTAGTACCAGGGATTGAACCCAGGAGTATTTAACCACCGAGCCACATCCCCAGCCCTTTTTTCTATTTTTATTTAGAAACAGAGTCTTGCTAAGTTGCTTAGAGCCTTGCTAAGTTGCTGAGGCTGGCTTTGAACTCGTAATCCTCCTGCCTCAGCCACCTGAGCCACTAGAATTATAGGTATGAGCCACTCACCCGGTGGCCCTTGGCCTTTTTTAAAATTTTTTTTTTTTTTATTTTTAATTGGCTCCATTTTTTTTTTTTTTTTTTTTTTTTTAGGTTGTTGGGGTTTGACCCCGTTGCTTCCCCCTTGTTCCCCCACGGAGCCACCACACCAGCCCTGCCAAGGCAATTTTTAGCAAAGAGAGAGACAGAGAAACAGATTATGGAAGCCAACAATTCTCTCAAAACAAACCAATCCTCTGGTCTCCATCCTTCCCAGCCTCAAACAGGCCTTTCCTCTGCCCTCTCTTTCTTGCTGGCTGCCCCCCACAGAAGGGGAAATCCCACCAATTTGAAGCTTTCCCCTCATCATCTAAGATCTCCCATCACTCACCAGTTCCTGCCCCTCTACCTCCGCAGGGGCCTCTCACTCCGTCCACTCACTCTTTCTACCCCTCTTGCCAATGTCCTGCCTTCTCGCACTTGCACAGGTGATTTTCTGTCTGGAACTTTACCCACCTCTTGTAATCTACTATCTATTCCTCAGGACCAGGCTGGACCTCACCCCCTCTGCTCAGTAGGGCCAGCTTCGATGACCCTCTCACATGCTCCCACTGTCCCCTGCTCTGCACTGGTCGGCCTTTTGAAGGATGACTTGCACCGTCTCCCAGCAGTCGTGCACTTCCTCTGAACTGAGAGTGCGTGTTCCACAGCCAGCCCCATCACTAACACGTAGCAGGTACCCAAGTGTTTGTGTGCATGAGCACACACCTCATGCACTCCTCCCGCTCAACGCTGGCTTTACAGCTGCAACTGTACTGCTTAGTAAACACTACTGAGGACAATACAGGAGGCAAAATGTTCCCATCACTACAAGGACCACTTCTGGGGTGAACGATGGCCACCCACAGATATCAAGTGCTAATCCCTAGAATTTGTAAATATGATTATTTGCAAAAAGGGCTTCTGGAGATATGGTTAAGGGGTCTGCAATTTAGAGAGAGCCCTGGATTATCTGGACAAGCTCTAAATGCCATCACAAGTGTCTTCTAAGAACAAGGCAGGAGCTCTCACCCAGAAGAGAGGTGACATGGGGATGGAGACAGACTGGAGGGATGTGGTCACAAGCCTGAGAACCTGTCCGTCACGTGAAATTGTTCAGAGGCAAGAGACAGGTCTCCCCCAAAGCCCCAGAAGGAGTGTGGATTTCTCACTTGTGGCCTCCAGAACGGTGAGAAAAATTTCTGTTGTTGTTTTAAGCCACGAAGTTTGTGGTAATTTATTCTAATGGCCTCAGAAAACTAACACCATATACTTTGGGATTTGTGCGCCATCTGGGCCTGTGTTAATTAACTTGAGCATTGCTGTGGCCAAAATACCTGGGAGACAACTTAGGAGAAGGAAACGTTCATTTTGGCTCATGATTTCAGAGAGTGAGTCCACGGTGGGCCAACTCCATTGCCCTGGGCCCAAGACGAGGCAGAACATCATGGCAGAAGGGCCTGACTGAGGGAAGCCACCCGACTCATAATGGCTGTCGCAGAGGATGGAGGTGGGAGGTGGGAGGTGGGAAGGGAAGACGAACCCTTCCAGGGCACACCCTCAGGGACCCACCTTCTGTAGCCATGCCCCACTTGTCTACAACTGCCACCAAGATAGTCCATTCAAACCAGGATGAGGTTATGGTTCTCAAAATCTCATCATCTCATCTCTGAGTATTCCTGCCTTGACACAGGAGATTGGGGGGAACATCTCTTATCCAAATCATAACATTCTGCCTTGGAGTCCCAAAAAGCTCATTTCCATCTCAGAAAGCAAAAATGCATTTGGCTCATCTCCGAGAGTCCCCTTGCTCCTAACAGTTCCAGCCTTGGCCAAAAGTCTAAGTCCAAAGTCTCCTCTGAAACTCAAGGCAAACTCTTGGCTGTCAGCCCCTGTGATGATCGAGGCAAGTTACAGATCACCAGTATCCAGTGGCACAGAGTAAACATTCCCAATCTGAAAGAGAGGAAGAGAGGCACAGAAAGAAAGGATGGTACCAAAACCCAGTCGGGCAAACAGGTCCCGTAACTCCACAGGAGAACATCTAGGGCACCTGGAGGGATATGCCCTCCAAAGGGCTTGGGCAGCCTGGCCCCTTGACCTTACTAGTTGCAGTATTCATGGCTTCTCTCTTAACCTGGCTCTCCCTGCTTCCTGGCCGCCATGAAGGAGCACCACTTTTCCACCCCACCCTTCGGCCATGAGGTTCTGCCTCACCTTGGTCCCAGAGTAATTAACTCAGACAGCCGTGTGCTCAAGCTCTGAAACCATGAGCCAAAATAAACCTTACTTCCTCCAAAATATTCTAGTCAGCTATTTTGGTCACAGTGATGCCAAGATGACCGACACAGGGCTCATAGCATGTAGGTCATGTATGCAAAACTATCTGCAGGGAGAGAAAGAAGGACCATATCTAGGTACGACCACAGAAAGCCCAGGGCTTCGTTCATAGTGGAGATTCAAAAACCATTTATTTAGAATGAAAGAAAATATGAAAACTGGAAGAATCCTTAACCTTCACAAAACCACAGCCTTCTCAACAGCCTCCTGACGCCTAGCCCTGAGGCAGATCTTGCACTGATCTCCCACTTGGAAGGACCTAACACGGTTTGTGTCCTCTGAGCCTTTGCCCAGCTGTTCTAGCTACCTGGTAGGCTCTTCTTCCACCGCTGCCTACTGACATCCTACTGCGGTTCCAGAGCCAGCTCGAATGCTTCCTGCTGTATGGCACCTTCACTGGTCACCTGCTTCTCTCCCACATGCTTCCCATGGGCTCCTGTAACTCTCTACAGAGTTGGTGACAATTCATCTGTTAAATTATCCATTCCTAGCCCAGTGTCCTGCACATCCGCACACACACACACCAAGTTCTAGGTAAATCAATCAATCAATGCTCGTG